TGTTCCTGCTGGAGCTTCTCCCAGAGGAGGGTCCAGACTTCTCTGGGTCTGTTGGGGCCAGTTGAAGGTTTTATCAGGCCTACTTCTGTTTCTGCAAGGTGTATCCTGATGGTCTTAGGGCTAGGTAGTTTTAGTACTCCCTAGGAACTCTACTGTTATGGGGGCCCCTATCCTATTTATCTGCCTGCCTACATCAAAGACACAACTGTTAAAAAAGCAAAACACCTTTATTTTTGATATGCTAAAAAATTGACTGGCTAGGATAGAAAATCAAATTAGTCATATATAACATTCTCTTAAGCCCAAAATGAATTCAGAGAAAGTACTCTGTCTCTGCTCTGTAAATGCAACAACAAATCCAGGGTTACAGCATAGTTTACTGAATATTTTAAGCCTACAGCTGAAAACTACTATTTAGAAAAAAATTAAAAATTAATATTACTGCTTGTTCTCAATGCACCTGATTTGTTCTTTCTATGTCTACTTATACAAGATCAATGTTTCAACTCATGTCAAGGAGTTATTTTAACATTTGTCTCATAATTTAGAAAATATTTCATAAATCCATAGCTTCCAGAGAGTAATTATTCTTCTGATAACAAAAATTCTAAAGAGAATTCACAATTTTAGGTGTCATTTAGAACATTCATAATTCATGAGAGTAGGTCAAAATATTAACATTAACAGAAGCTTGGAAGAAGCTTATTCCAAATGTTTGGATGACTTAGAGGTTTTAAGACTTCACTGGAGGAAGAAAGTACAGATATAGCATTAAAAGCAAAAGAACTAAAATAAGATGTGAGGGCAGATGATATGGATAAATTATAATTCAATGATAAAACTTTAACAAATGAGGAGTTGTTTTCGACATGTGAACAAAAAAAAAACCCAATTTCTTGAGATGAAATTCAGACCTAGTAGAGATGATGATGTGAACGTTATGAAAATGATAACCAAAGTCTGAGATAACTGCACAAACTTACCTTGAAAAGCAGTGGAAGCATTTAAGGGAACTGACTACAACTTTCAGAGAATTTCAACTCAGGGTAGGGGAACTGGAGAGATGGTTAGACCCTTGCTTTGCATGCAGCTGACCTTGGTTTATTCTCCAGCAGGACAGATGTTTCTCTGAGCACCACTCCTTAGTAGAGAGTCAGGAGTACAACCTCATAGAATCCAGAAACAAAAACAAAACAAAAGTTGTACTGAGCGGGGGGTAAAATGCTATCAAATAATATGCATGCTACAGAGAAATCTTTCGTGATAGGGTTTATCAACATGGAAAATGTCATTATTTTTATTTCAACAAATTGCCAGAGCAACCCTTATCTTCAGCAAGAACCATCTGAATCAGCAACCATTAACATAGGTCAGAAGTTTCCACAAATAAAGCCATTAACATAGGTCAAAACCTTCCACTAACAAAACCATTGTGACTGAAGGTTCAGACAATTGGCATTTTTAGCAATATTTTTTCTTTTTCTTTTCTTTTTTCTTCTCCTTTCTTTCTTATTTTTGTGCAGCACTAGGAACTGAACCCAATAACTCAATATGCAAGTCATGTTCTATACTCCTAAGCTATAACCTCCCTAGTTCCAATACAATTATTTTTAGTATTTGTATATATATATGTGTTGCTAGGGGCACAGGGCATGCACTTTATCACTTCCTTGGCATAAAGAATTTATAAAAATTAGATATATATATGCTTTTTTCAACATATTTTTGTATAATTAATATAGTGTAATATAGATTCCACATGTACTGTCACTGTCACTGTCACTGTCTTCTGGTTGTTCATCGATTTTCTCGAGCATGCCAGTTACTGGGTCACATGTACTAAGAAAGAAAAATTCATGTATTTTACTGTAATATTCACTTAATTTTGGTGATCTTGAACCAAGATCTGCAATATTCATGACACATGCATACATAATTTCAAGATCTTTTATTGCAAATGTATCCAAGCAAAAATCTTTTCAAAACTCAACTTCTCCTAAATTCTAATAAAATAGTGTTGTTCTCTTTGTCTTTCCCTCCACTCTCTGCTAAATCAAAACTATTTTCTTTTTCCTAATAAATTTAAGTTTAACTTAAGCATGTTCCTTAAAAGAATTTTCTATGTTGTAACTTCTCACTCTCTTTACTATTAGTCCCCCAAGAACTTTTTATGATCTAGTGGAATGTACATCATTTATATGGCTATAAAACCTTTAAGAAATTCTACTTGAATGCCTATTATGCCTACATATTTAAATAATAGATTCTATGGAAAGGAGGGTTGAATTTCTCAGTGTATTTTCCTCAACCAAGACTATAATGAGCAAAAATTTAGGTTGTTCTCTTAACTCAAATTATAATAATTATTAACAAAATAAGGGTTTATTCAAGAGAATCTATACATCTTGAGAGCAGGGAGTTCAAATATCACAAAGTATGCATTTGATACATATTGAAACAGATCAAATGTCTATTCTCTATACTTCTATAAAATGCAAAATTATAAGGTTTTATATTTAATTTACTGTTCTAACCTATACAATTTCCTTATGTTGCTTTAAAACAATAGTTGGAATAGTAACATTGTCCTTTAAAAATAAGAAGAAAAGCACCAGAGAGAGTGCATGGGTTAAATCATTTGCCTTGTAAATGACTGATCCGTTTGATACCAAGAATCACATTGTCCCCCAGGCATAAACAGAAATGAACCCTGAGAACCAGGAGTAACTCATAAAACAATGCTTATATGAAGAAAACCTGATCCATTTTATTTTAAAAAATTTCTGTGAAATAAGTCTTATTACTTGGTTAAGATGGAAAAGAAAAGGGTCTTCAATTCTTGTACTTACATGTGGATAAGTATTATATATGTATATCTATTAACTGTATATAGATATCAATATGTGTACATAAAATATTTAGAGAGGGGCTAGAGTGATAGCACAGCGTACAGGGCGTTTGCCTTGCATGCAGCCGACCAGGGTTTGATTCGCAGCATCCCATATGGTCCCCTGAGCACTGCCAGGAGTGATTCCTGAGTGCAGAGCCAGGAGTAACCCCTGTGCATCACCAGGTGTGACCCAAAAAGTAAAAAAAATAAATAAAAAAATACAATAAAATAAAATATTTAGATATTTAGCTCATATGTTTAGTTATTTAATATAACCATTATATTAAATAGAGGCATTATAAAATTAAGTTAAAGTTACTTAAATGTTTAAAATATTAGCAATTTTGTGACCCCTTTTGTTCTTTCTACATTTTATAATATACTAAAAATCTCACAAAATGGAAGTAGGCTAGGAATCCTAATCATGTGAGTCTGAGATTTATGGTATTATATACTTCTAAAACTAAACATCAATAATAAAAATGGCATTTTGCATAGTAAGTGATACATTTAAAGGCATAAAATGATTCACTCTTCAAATAAATACATGACAACTTTAAATGTGAATAAAATTTAAATTTTAATACCATTTGAAGAACAAGATCTAACTTTCTACTGTTTACAAATGCTCAGTAGCACTTTGTGTGTATTTGTGTATTTGTATTCCCCAGGAAAAGACATTTCTGTGGAAATAATCAAATAGAGAATTCGATGTTCCTTGCAGATAATTTTGGAATGTCCACTGGGAACTTTCTTGTCTGATTTTTTTTCATTTTTCTTGGGAAAACACCCAGAATTTCTAAATATTAGGTCTTCTTTTAGTTAAGCTGCTATATACAGAGTTTGTATAATTTGTATTTAGTAAGACACTATAGTAGAAATCCTCATCATTAAAAGTAGACAAACTGTGTGAAAGTATAATTCAAATGTAATAGAAGTGACATTAAAAGTAACATTAAATGATGTAGAGTATCACAATAATTACATTTTATTTTGCTAAACTTTTAAAAATTTCCTGGGTAGGTAATTATAATATGTAGATAGCTCCCCATTTAGTCAATAAATCCAAAATTGATATGTCTCATTTTCATTTTCTAAGAAAACCAATGGCCTTGTTTTTGGAAACAATGATAAACCCAAATTCTTTGCCAAAATCAAAATCCTTTTTAATCCATGTTTTGTTCGTTTGTGGTCTTCTCAAATTTATAAAATGATTAGAATTTTTATCCTAGCCCTGCCTTATTATTTTGCATCAATTTTTTCATCCTGAAAAGTGCAAATGTTATTTGTCTTTCTGATTAGCCCAAACTCTGAAGAAACCTATGGCTGTTTTCTACTGTTGATGGTTTTATTTACCATTCCCTGTGTGGGCAATTGCTCAGCAGTAATCGCAAGGACCAATCACTTGGATTGAATCCTACTTTCTAAGAAATTCGTCTTGGCCAGTTTGTCCCAGGGCACTGCAGTGGCCCTCAAGACAAATGGAAGATAGGCCGAAGCCAGAGATTTGGAGTCTAGAGCACAGAGGAGTGGCTGATGTAAAAAAATAAGGAACATATCCCAAAGGAAGAGAATATAGCATAAGAAGATCTTAGGACTAATATGCAGAAACTTTGTTAGATACTCCCTAGAAAGTTAAGAAGTAAGAGTGGCTTGAAAAGGCAATATGCTAGGTTACTAATTTCTATTTTTTAAAGTAAAAAAAGATTGCTGTTATTTCCGTAGAACATGGCCTCCAGAACTCTTCAGCAGGGACTAAGTGATGACAGTAGTGAAAGCCCTATCAACGGTTCATATTTATATCCTCGAGGTGAAATGCCATATTCACATTCACATTGAATTCCACATTAGCGAATGATGAATACAAGATGTTTTTCGCAATCTGGCTGCTGGCTTGATGCATTTTGTTAAACACACAGAAACTGCCAAAGTGGGAAAGTAGCCTTTCCTAAATCACTCTGTCACCATGACTATAGGACATTTTTGTAAAATGGTTGAGTTTTGATTAAGGCAAATAAAAATTTTACTGAAGACCTTGATATAGAGTTGGCTTTAAAACTCATCTTTAAATTTTTGCTTTCATATTCATGAATAATTCTCCTGTTCACAGGATTAAACAAAATGACAACTCCTCAATTTTATTGTCAGTACTGCACAGCATCACTTCTAGGGAAGAAGTATATACTAAAGGATAACAATCCATACTGTGTTTCCTGCTTTGATCGTATCTTTTCTAACTACTGTGAAGAATGCAAAGAGTCAATTGAATCAAACTCTAAGGTAAATTAACACCTATATTAAAAGAATTGTTGTTTATGAACAGCATATATGTGTTTGGAACATTTATTTTCCTTTAATATTGATTATTCTCTCTTGTTCTGCTATTGAATATAAGGATCTTCAGGATTAACAATAATGCTCTAAGCAACAGTATGCTTAGAACAATTGGGAAAAAACATAATATACACTTTACTTTAATCCTCATATTCATGTTAGAAGATAGTTTACAATACTAAAGACATAAGAAGTCATCTGTTAAATTATGTAGCCAAAACATTGAGTTAGAGTATCACCAGGTATAACCCCCAAACCTGAAATAAATAAATAAAATTACTTATCTCTGAGATAACAAGAATATAACTAAATAATGGTGATGTAATAATTCAGAACTATTTCTAACTTCAAATTAGCTTAGCCTCATGTCTGCCAATCTCATTATGCCCTATGCCTCTCACATACAGATAATCCCTCAGTACACATTATCATGCATGTGTGTGTGTTTGTGTGTACACGCATGTGTGTTTGTGTCTGTCTATGTGTCTTTAGTTAGGTGGTATGGAATTTTGTTTAATTCATTCTCATACTGTATCAGGATATTGCAAAGTAAAAATAAAAATTGTTTCTATGAAAACCTTTATTGTAATTAATAAAAGAAAAATAAGAAATTGAAAAAAATCGGAGGAGGGTCATTTATTTTCTAGCTGTCTTTAGTGACTCACCAAGAAAGTGCCAGGTTCTAGCTCTTAATTCCCCCAGAGAGTCTCCTCTCTATGGGTAATAGTATCAATAACAACTTTCCCTATAGCTCCCGCCACAACTGACTGGCACTGGAGTCCCAGTAGTGTTTAGTTTTGTCTTAAAAAATGACCAGTTTTGTTGCAAACACATTTAATTAACTTTTATGTACTGTCTCAAAGGATCTTTGCTATAAAGGCCGACACTGGCATGAAAGATGCTTCAATTGTGCCAAATGCAATCACTCTTTGGTGGAAAAGCCTTTTGCTGCCAAGGATGAGCGCCTGCTGTGCTCAGAGTGTTATTCTAATGAGTGCTCCTCCAAGTGCTTCCACTGCAAGAAGACCATCATGCCTGGTAAGATTATAAGGGATATCCAGTATCTAAGTAAAGCTGCAATGCTTTGAATTAAGCCAGCGCAGGGGAAAGATGTAACAGCTAACAAAACCAGGTTTTAAGAAAAGACATCTTTTTTACTATCTCTTGATTCCATTTAGAGTATTTTATGAAAACAAAGATTATCCATTCTTTCTTAAATAGCTATATTTTAGTGTGCTGCCTATTTTCATAAATCTTATTTCTGAGAACACTTTAAACCAGAATCTGAGTCATGGAACAAAAATAAAATCTATATCTGTAAATGGATTAACCACATGGAGATACTAATGGCATCAGAAAACAGTCCATCAGTGAATAATGGAGCCAACCATCTTTTTGTACTTTGACAAAAGTTGGTTTGAAGGTTGTTTTAATCCCCTTTCAGAGAATACAAAGATGCATAAAAACTGTTCCAACTTTAGCTGAGCAATAATTTTCTATAGTTTGATCATCGTTACATCTCAGTGGACAGCAATAAAAGAACACAATTCCCTCTCTTTTACTTACCTTTTTTTGTTTTTTTGAGACATTATTATATGACATCAATCTCAGAAGTTGGTACCACAGACATTGCTAATATCATAATAGCTCATCTAGTCCAATTATATCTAAATCAAGGTCAGCCTTCCAGAGTTATCTCAGTAATTTTAAATCTCCAAATTATAAATCGCACAAGTTTTTAATGAGATTCATCATAATTATAGTGAACTCTACTTATGATTTTTTCAGATAAATGTTGTAGAAACAAAACACTATGTTTAGAAGAACAATTAGTTTATTACTGTAGCGTAATATGTACAAGCACATATATTCAACTATTTTGACGTGTCTTTGATTAAAAGAAAATAAAGTTAAGCTTAATTTGTACTAATAGTTTTTACTTTTGGGATACAGGTTCACGAAAAATGGAATTTAAAGGAAATTACTGGCATGAAACCTGTTTTGTATGTGAGCATTGCCGACAACCAATTGGAACTAAACCTTTGATTTCCAAAGAGACTGGCAATTACTGTGTACCATGTTTTGAGAAGGAGTTTGCTCACTACTGCAGTTTCTGTAAGAAGGTAATTATCTGAAGTGGATGAACTTTGTGAAACCTTCCAGACCAATGCTTTTTTAGCTGCACTGTACATTTGGAATGTGTTGATAATATCATGTCCTATCTCCCATTATACATTTGTATTATTTTTGAATGCCAACCTGTCCAAAAGCACTACCTCTTGCAGTTAGAATATTTGTCCCTTTTCAAAAAAATCTATAAAATTTTACTAAGAGCATAAATTTAATATCCCAGAGGTTCAAATGATTTAATATTCTAGAACCGTTTGCTGCTGCTACACATGATCTCATGTATTCTGGGGGAGGAAACACGTCTCTCTTTGAATGCAAAATATTTCTTAAGAAATAATTCTTGATTCATTTAGATTCAGAGAAATGATGAATTTATCTCACAGACCAACCAAGAAAACCAATTTAAGCAGGATGTTTAATTCTTCATGTTTTGTGTCAGTAACACAAATATATTCTGGTAAGACCCTGATATTTACAAAAGCAGAGAGGTATGTTCATTGGAATTGTTAGATCATTGGGGAAATTGAGCAGAGAGTAAAAAGCAAAAGAAGACTAAAAGCTTTCTTTTAAGTTCCAGAGTATCATGTAAGGACTCTTGAGTTGGATACCCACTCAAAACTTTTATTCCACCTGGTTGTAAAGAGAGTATAGAAGTTAGGGTGTGTGCCTTGCACGTGTCCAACAGTGGTATAATACTGTCACTGTATATAGTCCTCTGAGTACAGAGCCAACTTATAAACCCTGAATACCTCCAGATTTGACCCAACAGGAAAGAAATTTGGGGGTTATACCTGGAGATACTCAATGCTTACTCCCGGATCTGCATGCAGGGATCACTCCTACTGGTCCCCCCAGGTCTGCATGCAGAGATCACTCCTAGTGGTCCTTGGGTGACCATATGGGATGCTGAGGATGAAATATGGGCCAGAGGCTTCCAATGTAAGTGCTATTACTGGTTATACTATCTCTCCAGCTCTGAAAAAAAGTCAGTTAAAAAATAAACTATGTTCAATACTGTTTCATCCTCTAAGATTTATGTGGAAAAAAAGTTTGTTCATCTGTTTCTGACCTTGATGAAGCTTATGCGTATCTCCCATACAAATGTTAGTATTTGTTAACATTTTCAAACAAATCCTAAACACATGAGACATCATATCTGTGCTAACATGATACTATAAATTTGGATTAGAAAGCAAAATTATAAAAATATATTGAATTAGTAGAGTAGTTTCTAAGTATTTTTAATCTACTTTTTTTTTTTATTGAATCACTGTGGGAAAGGTTACAAAGCTTTCAGGTTTAGGTCTCAGTCATGCAAATATCAAACACATTTCCCTTTACCAATACTTATTTTTTACCATGAAGAACCCCAATAAAACCCCACCCCCCAACCCTCCCAGTCCCTGTGAGGCAGATGAATTCTAGTTAACACTCTATCTGCTTTGATTAGATTCACTGTTTCAATAAAAGATTCACCACTATTATTTAGAGTTTACCGCCCCCCCCCCCCAATCAGACATGCTGAAAAAGCATTGTGAAGTGATTTGCTTTCTACAGCTGGGTTCAAGAATTAAATGTTGGTTTTGGATTTCTGCTATTTTACCTATTGACCCTGGAAGTATTTCTACTGAAAGTCAGATAGTTAAGAAATTGGTTTCTGTGTTCTGGAGTCGTGGCCGTGCTGGAGAGCCACTCGTGGGGGGGGGCAACTGGTGGCCTCAGTAGGGCGTGAAGGGCGGACCGAAACACCCCCCTTCCCATGAGGTTTTAGTCGCCCCCACACCCCCGGCTCATACCTGCTGTCCACAAGGCTCCCATGTGGCCGCCATCTTTCTTTCCAGAGGGAGGAGGGTGGAAGGGAGCAACACCCTTTCCCCTCCGGGCAGACATGATGGTCTGGATGAACGCATAGTCCTTTCACTTTTCTGCTCCAAGCTTCTGGTTTCTGCATTAAGTCCTTGTGCTTCTGGGGCTGTGGCCGTGCTGGAGAGCCGCTCGTGGGGGGCAACTGGTGACCTCGGTAGGGCGTGAAGGATGGACCGGAACAACCCCCTTCCCATGAGGTTTTAGTCGCCCCCACACCCCCGGCTCATACCTGCTGTCCACAAGGCTCCCATGTGGCCGCCATCTTTCTTTCCAGAGGGAGGAGGGCGGAAGGGAGCAACACCCTTTCCCCTCCGGGCAGACATGATGACCTGGATTAACGCATAGTCCTTTCACTTTTCTGCTCCAAGCTGCTGGGTTCTGCATTAAGTCCTTGTGTTTCTGGGGCTGTGGCCATGCTCCAAACTTAACTCTGATTTCCAGGGAGAAAGGTTGGGTGGTTTACTTCCCATTGATCACTTTGTATATAGAGAGATGTCGCGCGGCCGCTTATGCGGCTGCGCAGTTTTGAGAAAAAGTCCTAGTTCCCGCATACTCGAGCTGTGCTTGTAGAGGCTTCTGGTCACCGGGGTTCCATCTGGGGAAGGCGGGATGCGGTACCTACCCCATCTGGGACTTCCCGGTGATCTCGGCTCTTTTTGAAACCTGTTTTTTTTTTCCGGGATCTGTGGTTCCCGCCCTCTATGTGGTCCTTCTCTTTGGCTGTATCTAATCTATGGTTATTTTGGCAGATTTCTTAAGCTTTGCATCTGGACAGTTAGAAGCCTACAGCCACTTTCTAAAACATTGCACATAAAACACATGCACATTCACAAGTAATTTTCTACTATTTTTAATATACAAAGTAAGGTAAAGGTAAAGGTAAAGGCCCTCCCGTTGATCGTCGATTTGCTCGAGCGGGCCCAGTAACGTCTCCATTGGAGACTTTGTTGTTACTGTGTCTGGCATATCGAATACTCTCGGTAGCTTGCCGGGCTCTCCGAGAGGGGCGGAGGAATCGAACTCGGGTCGGCCATGTTGGCCGCGTGTAAGGCGAATGCCCTACCCGCTGTGCTATCGCTCACTTAATTTCTAATTAAATTCTATTCCTTTGAAGGCTAAAAATAACAATTAACAAAAAACATAAAAATTACAGTTGCCAAAAATCATCTTATGCTACATAGATTTCCATTACTCTATCAGAAACACAAATTTAGTTAAACATGTAGTTAGATCAATAAGATGTAGATGGTTTTTAGGTGTAGCTCCAAAATGTTATCAGAATCAAAAATATGCATCCAGAAACAGATGCAGACAAAAAAATGGTGACTAAGTTGGCCATTTTAGGCTTATATTTCTTAAGAATTCATATTAAAGTATTAATGACACTTATGGGAATAACCTTGAAATTATTTATTGTGCATACTATATAAAGTTTCTTTCCATTCTACAAAGATTTCCAGAAGGAATTTCTCTACTAAGACAGCATTAGTACTGCCTGGGGCCAAAGCACAGGCATTTCCCAGGTTATAAGAGCCTTACCAAAAATGTATAAAATATTTATATTGGGTAACACAGATCACAAAAATGTCAGATTGTTTTTTAATGTTTTTAAACCACAAATCTTTGAAAGAAAACTGAATATAAATATTTCTGATCACATGATTCAAGCTGAACTTGTTTCAACTCAAACCAAAGAGCAGATCTAAAACAAAAACAAAGACAAAAACTACTTCACAAACAGATACTTAGAATTTTTCTTATGGCTTTTATTTGGTAAAACTAAAGCTTACATTACACTGAAAAAACCAAGTAACTTTAAACTATAAAAATGCATTGAATTCAAACTCTTCAGGGATCAGATACTTTTGAATATATTCTGCAATTCATCAGCTATTCTCTGTTGAGTACAAAGGCACTACTGCATCTACTTTGCCAGAGCAGAAAATTGATCTAAATCCTGAGGTCAATCAGTTGCAAAAAACAAAGCTTAGATATTGGGCTTTATCTTAGCTCTCCCTTTTCAAAGGGAGCATAATCACAAGCAAACTATTTTTAACACTTCAGAGTTTCTTCTCCATTAAACTATCTTTAATATACATCAAGCTTTTATTTTGCTGTGACTTTGTGTGTATGGTGTTTTCTTGTTTGTGTGTTTGTTTTTGTTTTGCTTTTTGGTAACTTCTTGATCTTTTAAGAGTGCCTGCTAGTCATTTAACCAAGTAAAGTAAAATAAGTAAAGGCCCTCCCGTTGATCATTGATTTGCTCGAGCGGGCCCAGTAACATCTCCATTGGAGACTTTGTTGTTACTGTGTTTGGCATATCGAATACGTCACGGGGAGCTTGCCAGGCTCTGCCGTGCAGGCAAGATACTCTCGGTAGCTTGCCGGGCTCTCCGAGAGGGGCGGAGGAATCGAACTCGGGTCGACCATGTTGGCTGCGTGCAAGGCAAACGCCCTACCACTGTGCTATTGCTCCAGCCCCACAAGTCAGGAAAATCTTGAACTTTCCTATGTCTGCTATAAGGCATTGAAGTCAGTGAGAGGTGTTTTGAATTCCTTCACAGACACCATTATGTTGCCGGTTTACTTATTTAGAATAACATACTCTTTCCTGAATGTGACAGTGACTCTTTCCTCATAGGAAACTACATTTCCATCAAATAACCTTCACAAAGATTTTTTTTTCTTTTTTCTTTTTTTTTTTTTTTTTGAATTTTTGAATCACACTCAGTTCTAATGCTTGGTGGCTTCTCCTCCTAACAAGATCGGGGGTTGCTCCTGGGTAATGCTCAGACAACATGCTGTGCCAAGGATTGAACTTCTGCCTCCTACATGTAAAGCATGGGCTCAGCCCATTGAGCTTTGTGTCCAGATCATTATTAAGATATTTCTTACAGGACTAAAAACACACTTAACATTTCTCCCAAAATATTTATAATTAAATATTTTTTAAATTTATCAAAAATTGCAAATAGAGATATTTCATCCTTTTAAAAAGTAGAACCCAGATTGATATATTTTAGGAAAATTATTATTTTACAGATGAAGAATAAGTACCTCTAATATAAAAAATGCCACACATCAAGTCCTATGTGCTCATTGAACTAAACCAGTAATTCAGTAATTACCTAGGGCTAAAAATTCATGCTGTTGCCCACAGCATACCATTTCTGTTAGATAGAATATTGGAATTGCTTTCCAAATACCTTTTCCATTAGCATTTATTCATTCCTTCCACAAGGCCTTATCAATTGTTTATCAGTGCAAAAAATCTTGTCTCTCTGTATGGTATTCACAGTTAAGCACACATACTGTGAAGTTAGGCTGTGCAAGTTAAATGTTAGCTCTATGTGACCCAGAAAAGTGATTTAATCAGTCTAACCTTCAGTAAACCCACCCTCAGCTCCAAAAGGGGAAGGATAATTGGCCCTGCTGTGTTGGGATGTTAAGCACAGAGCTATGGACTGGGGTAAAAACCACCCCTTAAGCAATGTTAGTTATTATTAGCTGACAGTTCTTCTCAGTCCCCTTCAGACTTAACTACTGCTGATTGCTTGAATCTGGTGTCAAGTTTTAAGGAAAAGACTTTTTTCACCACCCTTAAAAGTTAGACTGGGAAATGAGAACTCAGAATAGAAAATATCTTATCTCTAAATTGCAGTTCTTTTGAAGACCCACAAGAAAGTTAGAGGGGGGGAAAGGTGAGAAAAGAACTCACAAGCCTACTTCTTTTTCATCCTCTCCAAACCATTGTAATTCTTCTGCCTTTCTATTCCACTATGAAGAGGGCAATTCAGATCTCTCTAACTAGTTCTTTTTAATTCCTGTAGCCCTTTGCATCTCTAATTGAGTAAAATCAAACCACTGGAAAGAAGCATTCTACCAAAAGGTGATAAATGAGACTCAAGTGCCACTTAGAGCTATGGATGAGAAGCAGACAAAGGTTTGAGTTGTTATTGCCTTCATCCTTATTACCTTTTCTGTGATACTTTCACAGGTAATAACTTCAGGTGGGATAACATTCCGAGGACAGCCATGGCATAAGGAATGTTTTCTGTGCAGTGGATGTAGAAAAGAGCTCTGCGAAGAAGAGTTTATGTCCAGAGATGATTTTCCATTCTGTCTGGAGTGCTACAACTATCTTTATGCCAAAAAGTGTGCAGCCTGCACAAAACCCATTACTGGTGAGTTTTTCTGTTGGGATGGAACATTCTTCTAGACATTTATGACTATATAAATACTTCAGCTATTTATAACAATGCAAGTAAAACATATGGATGATCTTTCCCTCTTGTTTCTTTCTGGGATGAACATACATGGATATCCGTATATAAAAGCACCTATTACAAAGATCCCTGAAGTCAAAGCGCCATGATTTACAATATAATTAGTGACAGGATCTCATGCATACTATTTTCCAACACCACATCCTTCACGCATGCCTGCTTTTGTCTACCCTGCACAAGGTTCCCTTCTGACCATCTGCTACCCATCCTCCCCCCACTCGCCCACTCCACCCCTTGGTAAGTTTAGTTCTATAAACTAGTTCTCAGGTTCTGTTGTCTTTGATCATTTTTACCATACCATGTACTGGGAGAGATAATAAAGTTTAGCTACTCTCTTACAAGACAATTAATATTAAACATACAGGCACTAGATTTAAGTAAAGTTATAGCTCAGGGAAGGAGAAAAGGATGAACTAATAGGTTAAAAAAGACCATGAAGAGCGCTGGTCTGAGCCAGATCTTTAAAGATTTGAATTGGGAGATAGGGATTCTCATAAATCAAAATCTTGCTTAATTCCAAATGAAGGCCAATGACCCTTAAAATAGGGGGAAAAGTTTTAATTAAATCCAAGTATCGTATAAACTTCAGAAGCTATAATAATTGGGGTAGCATAGGTCAGGAATTAATTAAACTTATTTTGAAGCTACTCCTTACAAATGTATTATTCTCTTCTCTATTCACTTGTGATAAGTTTTAATTATGAACACATGAAAAAAAATATAGCATTCTGCTGAAGAACCAAAAAAATAACAAAACTGTGGTAAATCAATCTATGTTAAGTAGTTTTTAAGGTCACAAATGCTGTGATTTCCTCAGGGACACTTCTAAAACACTAACTCTATTAGCATTTGAAAGGGAAAGAGCTGAAGCCTGAAGCTAGCTGAACACCTGAGAGATATGAAAGCTTTTCTTTTGGTGAATCTGGGGGGCAAATGGAGTTCCCAGAAGTGCTATGGTGGTCCTCAGCCAAATTAACAAAACTTTTCAATGCTAGAGCCCTGCGCTGCCAGGGACCACCAAGGATAACCTGGCAGTGTTCAGGAACCTCCATTGCTGGGGCCTGAAACAGGGTCACCCAGGCAGAACAAGCACACCCACTTGCAGTCCTCTCCCCTGCCCCTTAGGAGCTATTCTTCACGGTTATGTCATCAGTGAATGTACGAAAGAACTGTATTTCCTACTCTCTTATCCTAGAATTCTTATGTTACATTTTTGCTTGATTTGTGAAATATAAAATTAAAAATTATGTTATCCCTTACCCATCTTCAAATACATCACCAAAATATTTGAAACTTCATATACCTTCAAAGAAGGCAAGATTTACGAAAAACCCAGTTAGTAGACTTTCACTGAAAGGAAGGGAGAGAGCTTAAGAAAACAGTCCAGTTCTGTATTTCTATATATAATATACCTATTACACACACACACATACACACACACTCACACACACGCGCGTGCACACACACACACACACACACACATAAGATACCAAGTTTCTCCAGCTCTATTGTCTCTATTGGCTGTCTTCAGCCTTTAGGTTTATTTTCGTTCAACTGCTTATGTTTGGAAGCAAACAATGTAAAATTCATCTCCACATCAAAACGGAATGAAAAACCTTTATTGAAGAGACTTTCCTCGCAGCCCCAGAAAGGTTGTTGTCATTTGGCACTGAATAGCTGCTTCAGATAGAACATGCCCTTCTTTGTTCTTCCCACCTTGTCTCCATCATTCAGCTACCCGACACTTTCAAAGATGTATATTGTCAATCCCAAATGACTTGCTTCAAAACCTTGTTTTCAACCACTAAATGTTCCTATCTCCCACACATCTAGTGACTCCAGCAGTCAAGAGAATAAGTCACCATTTCTACCATTTAGGAACTGGAAACTCTCAAATATTCAGCATATATAGAGGTCCAAAAATCTATTTTTTAACTTTTTTATTGAATCATAGTGAAATAGATCCTTACAAAGCTGATCATGACTAGAGTTTAGTCATTCAGTATTCCAATAGCCATCCCTCCACCAGTGTATACATATCCCATCACCAGTGTCCCCAGGTTGTTTTCCCCCCACCCCAACCCCCACCCTCTGCTTACCTCTATGGCAGTCTTCAGTTCATCTCTTCTACATTTTTCTTAAACTGAACCATGAAAGTGTTGGGGTAATTGGGGTGAAGGTAAGGTTTCGATGAGGAAATGAGCACATTAAAAAACTCAGTGAGTTTGGAAGCTTCTTTTCATCAAAATGACTAATATTGATGTGCAAAGACTTGCCACAAACCCTGATGAGATTCAATTATGATCCATCATGTGTTTCTACAGATAGTCTCTACAAGTAGGGTTCTTTGAAATGGAGCTATTTGAGCTAATCAATATACCATAGGTAATTCTAATACTACCATATACTTCTGAAAGTTGAGTATTTGTCAACTTCAATATAAGTATAGTCACTGCAATAAATCAACTACATTGTAATGGCTTTAAAGTGGTGTTTTATTAGAAGCTTTGCCTTTTAACATTGACCTGACAATTCAGTGTTCAATGTTCAGTTGGTTCTGTCAGAAAGTGTGTGGGTCCCATGAAATCTATGTCACCAGGCATAATTTTCTAAAATACCACCAGAGCCTCAGAGCAATAGCACATCACTTGCCTTACACCAGGGGGCCCACAAATGGTTCCCTCAGTCCCGCCAGGAGTGATCTCTGAGCATAGGATGAAGAATAAACCCTGAGAACAACTGAGTGTGGTCCCAAAACAATAACAGAAAAATAAAATGAATTTGATTAATTTGAATAAACCTATCGAGATACAAATATAATTTTTCTCTTCATAAAACAAGTTTAAACTTTCAAACTTTTTTGTACGAATGAAACAGTTTGATGAGATGGAAAGTGCTCTAGACTAGAAGTAAAAGACCTTGGTCTTGGCCTTCTGCCTCTTACTACTGAGTGACCTTAGGTAAATAACTCACCTTCCAACGTCTTCATTTTCCCTCATTACTTAATGAGGAATTAAATAATATCACAATAGCCCTCTTCTGGTTCTAATTATTTTGAGTAAAAAAAGTTTCAAGTGGTAGAAGTGTGCACAAATATGGATGAATCAGAATATATTTTTATATAAAAGAGAAACATTTAAGTATCATTTGGAGAAATTAAGAGCATAGTCTCTGAAGTCAAATGACAGAGAATTAAATCACTGCTTTTTCCCTTAAAAATTGGAAGACCTTGGGCAAGCTATTGGATCTCTGGTCCTATGGCATGCACTGAAGGGTTTATAATAATATCTACTTCTAGAGACATAGTACTGCAAGTTAGGTTTGACCTTGCACCATTTGATACTGGTTCAATGCTTGGCATTTAATGTCCCCTGGTCCCTGTTACACGTGTGTGTGTGTGTGTGTGTGTGTGTGAGAGAGAGAGAGAGAGAGAGAGAGAGAGAGAGAGAGAGAGAGATACTATATGAAGCCATATGAAGGTGAGATGAGAGCTGGACTTAGTATACTGACTGGTTCATCTTCCAGTTTTTCAATAAATGTTTCCTCTTCCTCCGTTGATTTTTAAGTACAGAGACCTGATTCCTAGATAGTTTTCTGACTAAAAATGCCTGTCATGTCTTTAAGGGAATAAATATATTCAAATTGAAAATTTTGTAAAGTTTATTTGTCTGATCAGAGTTTTAAAAAAATCTCTGCTGTCATATGCTTCTTTTTTTTTCTTTGTAGGGTACTAGAATAATTATTTTTATATTTGCAATTTCTACAAATCTTACTAAGTAAGTAAAGTAAAGGCCCTCCCATTGATCATCGATTTGCTCTAGTGGGCCCAGTAACGTCTCCATTGGAGACTTTGTTGTTACTGTGTCTGGCATATCGAGTACGTCACGGGTGGCTTGCCAGGCTCTGCCGTGCTGGCGAGATACTCTCAGTAGCTTGCCGGGCTCTCCGAGAGGGGCGGAGGAATCGAACTCGGGTTGGCCATGTTGGCTGCGTGCAAGGCAAACGCCCTACCGCTGTGCTATCGCTCCAGTCCACAAGGATCAAAATGCTAGGATATATAATAAGTAGTTTCATAAACAGATGATTTATGTAGACAGAGAGCATTATTCTAGCAACTTATTAAAGTTTTGAATAACATTAAGGGAATTAATTGGCACATTACTGACTCATCCTTATTAGAAAATAATGATGATAGCATCATAAATAAGCAAGTTCTAAATTCAAACATAAAAATGGAGTGTGGTAGAAATTTAACCATGAACTAGCAATTTCTATGTAATAATAGCAATTGTTTCTAGGATATAAACAAAAGTTCATTATATTAAAGGGTACTTGTCTGAAACAGAAACATTGCCCTTTTTTCTTCATTTCAAAAGCTATATTTGGAGGGGGCTGGAGCAATAGCACAGCAGGTAGGGCATTTGCCTTTCACACAGCCGACCCGGGTTCAATTCCCAGCATCCCATATGGTCCCCTGAGCACCGCCAGGAGTGATTCCTGAGTGCAGAGCCAGGAGTAACCCCTGTGCATCGCCAGGTGTGACCTAAAAAGCAAAAAAAAAAAAAAAGAAAGCTTCAAAAGTTATATTTGGAAACCATGTATGAATTAACAATCAACACATGAACTACTTAGCTTTACTCTGGCTGATAAGCAACCATAGAAAGTATTAAAATGACTTGGAAAAAACTTGGCAAACAGGTAAATACTCATCCCTCTAGCATTTCAACCTCTCCCCAATCACTCCATTTTTTTGTCTTTTTCCACAATTTCTCAATTGATTCATATTAAGAAGATGGACTCTCACTGCTGACAGAAATTCTACTAACCTGTTTTAGAAATCTCATGGTTCAAGTGAAGTCCAAATTGAGGAGGTGGATTTCTCATAAACTAACACATCACTTCTCAGATATTAGTCATTGGGTAGCAAGACCTCTGTGACCACAGAACAGAATCATAGACTTCTGTTACAGCTCTTTGCTAAAGTTGTCCCTAGACAAGGTAATATATCATCAATATTTAATTTTAATTAAATTTCTGCTTTCGAAGATATTCAAAAAATTTCTGCTTTTGAAAGTTCTGTCCACAGTATATCTATGCCATTTTAGCCTAATTAAAATTAAAATTAAAGTACAACATCATTGGTCTGACCGAGACAAGAAGGCACGAATCTCACCATGCCATTTTCGACACTGGAGAAGAATTGTTCCTCGGAACATGCAATAAAAGAGGTGTTGAAGGCATCGGTGTCCTTGTCAACACAAACTTGGCCAAGAGCATTGATTCATTCGAATGCCTAACAACCCGAATCTGACGTTTACATTTGAATAGATGTGGCTCACTGCCTGCAGTTTCTACGCACCAACATCTCATTATGATGAAAGAGAAATCGAGAAGTTCTACATGGAGCCAGAGAAGTTCTATAAAGAAGACCACACCTTCTACAAGATCATTGTGGGTGATTTTAATGCCAAGATAGGACCGAGAAGATCAGCTGAAGAACTTCACATCGGGACCCATGGCCTAGAAAGGAACGAATAGGGTGAGAGACTGAGTTCATCATGTCAACCAAGACCATTCATAGTAACTCACAGTTCCAGAAGGCAGAATCTAAACGATGGACATGGGAGTCTCCCAGTGGACGATTCCACAACGAAATAGACCACATCATATTCAATCGACGGTTTTGCCTGACCGATGTCGCTGTTGTCCCAAAATTTCGAACAGGATCGGACCACTGTCTCCTTCGTGCAAAATTCTACTTCACAGAGCGGGGAGAAAGGGCTGCAAAGTTCAAAAAGAGAACTCCCAGAATGACCACCAACTGGGAACTCTTTGGTACTATTGCAGCAACATGGGAAGATGCCATTGTTGACAACATTGATGAGGAATACGATCGACTGGTTCAGCACCTCCATGAATGTGCGAGGAACGCCAAGAGAGAGATAGCCACAAAAAATCGCCTATCTTCGAAAACTCTTGAGCTAATTCACCAGCGTGGTTTGGCGCATGCCTCAGGCAACCGCATGCTAACGTCCAAGCTCCGCAAAGCAGTGCAGAGATGCGATCAAGGAAGACCTCAAAGAGAGAAGAGCAGAAGTACTGGTAGATGCGGCAGAAGTCGGGAAAAGTATTCGTAATGCCCACCTGTCCTTCGCCAACTACAAGTCCAAGATGACTGCCCTCCGACGTCCTGATGGATCCATCACATCCTCCAGAACGGCAATGGAGAAGATTATCCACGACTTCTACTCAAATCTCTTCGATAGCCATGTCCACTTGCCGACATACCAAATTCCACAGGATGGATATGTCGTTCCCAACGATCTCCCTTCCGAAATCCAACACGACATTTCGTTGGTAAAGAAACAAACAGCACCCGGCCCAGACAAGGTCAGACCTGAACACCTGAAGAACCTGCCATCAGTACTCATCAATACGCTGGCTCGGCTCTTCGCTCGCTACCTGTCTGAATGCAAGGTTCCGTCCCAATGGAAAACCAGCAGGACCGTACTACTGTTCAAGAAGGGAGACATCCATGACATTGGCAACTATCGCCCGATCTGCCTATTGTCTGTCATCTACAAGTTGTTCACTCGAGTCATCCTAAATAGGATTGGGAGAACACTAGATGAAGGACAACCATGCGAGCAAGCCAGGTTCCGCAAAGGATTCAGCACTATCAACCATATCCACACGATAACCAAGCTCATTGAGGTTTCTCAGGAGTTCAAGATGCCGCTCTGTTTAACGCTCATTGATTTAATGAAGGCCTTTGATTCTGTTGAGACAGAAGCAGTCGTCGAAGCCCTAGCCAATCAGGGCATTCAAACTCAATACATCAGGATCCTCCGTGAGCTGTATTGCGGATTCACTACCAGGATCTCACAATTCTACAAAGAAGTGATCGTTGATGTCAAGAGAGGGGTGCGGCAGGGTGATACCATTTCACCGAAACTCTTCAGTGCCACCCTCGAGAACATCATGCGACGACTGGAATGGGAAGGAATGGGAGTGAAGATAGATGGTCGGCAACTACACCACCTCCGCTTTGCTGATGACATTGTTTTAATAACACCAAACATCAGCCAAGCGGCACAAATGCTGGCCAACTTTGACCGTGAGAGTGGAAAGGTAGGACTACAGCTGAATCTTACGAAGACAATGTTTGTGAGAAACAGCCTTGTTCCTGACGCCCCATTCGCTCTCAACGGAATGACCATCACCGAATGCAACAGCTATGTGTACCTAGGTCGAGAAGTCAACATGACAAATGACCTGGCACCCGAGCTGCGCAGGAGGAAGAGAGCGGCTTGGAACGCCTTCAAGAACATCGAAAAAATAGCTAAGAGGACGAAGAACCTCCGGCTCCGGGCACATCTCTTTGATTCCACTGTTCTTCCTGCATTAACATATGCCTCAGAAACCTGGGCCCTACGCAAACAGGATGAGAACGCTATTCAGGTCTCCCAAAGAATAGAAAGAGCTATGCTTGGAATATCACGTTTCACTCAAATGAGAGAAAGAATCCGGAGTTCTGACATCCGTCGACGATCAAGAATCAGGGAAGCTGTCTCATTTGCCAAGGTGTCGAAAATCAGATGGGCTGGTCACGTAATGAGATTTAAAGATGACTGCTGGACTAGAGCTGTTACCGCCGACTGGATCGCGTGGCCGCCCACCTACCAGATGGTCAGACTTCTTCGTCAAGATCATGAACGATGGGTTTGAGGCTCTTCATGTTCCCGGAGCGAACAGATGCCATTGGGCTACACAAGCACGCGACAGGGACAAATGGAGATGTTACTGGCGCCCACTCGAGCAAATCGACGACTAACCGGAAGTTAAATGATTAAGTGATTAAAATTATAAACATAACAAAAAAAAGACTAAAAGTCATTCAATCATCAGACATCAGTCAAGGAAACACTTTTTTTAATTTTATCTTAATTGTGTAGTTAACAGAATAGGATCATGAGCAGACAAAAATATTTATACTTTTATAGCTCTGACTCTAAAAACCTATGCCCACTTTCCATTGCCTATATTTTCTTATCTAAGGAATTTCTAATGCATGTCCCACAGGATGTGCTTTCTGTGTTCATATTCTAAATACTTTTATGGATCATGGGGAAGTTTGACTGTTTTTTAAAATTTTTTATTAGTGAATTGCCATGAGGTACAGTTACAGATTTACATATTTTCATGCTTGTGTTTTAGTCATGCAATGCTCGAGTACCCATCCTTCCACCAATGCCCATTCTCTACCACTGATGATCCCCCCACCCTACCACACCCCCACCCCACCCCACCTCTATGGCAGAGCATTCCCTTCTGTTCTCTCTCCTTTTGGGTGTTGGTTTGCAATAGAGGTATTGAGTTGCCATCGTGATTAGTCTACAGTCTACTTTTAGCACACCATCACCCATCCCGAGCCAGTCCTCCAACCACACTTTATTTGATGCTCCCTTCTCTATCTGAGCTGCCTTTTCCCCTAGCATATGAGGCTAGCTTCCAAGCAGTGGAGCAAGCCTCCTGTTACTTATCTCTACTATTCTTGGGTGTAAGTCTCCCATTCTGTTAGTTTACATTCCACAGATGAGTGCAGTCTTTCTATGTCTGTCTCTCTCTTTCTGACTCATTTCACTTAGCATGATACTTTCCATGTTTATCCACTTATATGCAAAGTTTATGACTTCATCTTTTCTAACAGTTGCATAGTATTCCATTGTGTAGATGTACCAAAGTTTCTTTAACCAGTCATCTGTTCTTGGGCACTCGGGTTTTTTCCAGATTCTGGCTTTTATAAACAGTGCTGTAATGAACATACAAGTGCAGATGTCATTTTGACTATACTTTTTTGCCTCTCTAGGATATAGTCCCAGAAGTGGTATTGCTGGGTCAAATATGAGCTCAATTTCTAATTATTTGAGAAGCATCCATACTTTTTCCAAAAGGACTGAACCAGTTGGATTCACACCAGCAGTGTAGGAAGATCTCTTTCTCCCCACATCCACATCAACACCTGTTGCTTTTGTTCTTGGATGTGTGCCAGTCTCTGTGGTGTGAGGTGGTATCTCATAGTAGTTTTGATCTGCATCTCCCTGATGATTAGTGATGAAGAGCACTAAATACTTTTATTGATTATGGGAAATTTTGACTGGGAGTCAATCTAGGTCTTACATTACAAATTTGCTTATAAATGCCATTTCCAAAGGACGCAGGCCCACAGCCAGCAGGGGAAAAAGAAATCATATTTGGGGGTTAAGTTATTTTAGCCAAATATTCATTGCTGCAAAAGTCATTTATTAAGATGCTTAGTAAATGGTTGAGTAACTTAAATGCTTAAGTTAACCTGTTAACAAACTGGTTATCCAACTGGGTTAGTAAATTTAATGGTTAATAAACAAATGGTTAAGTTACCTAAACCATTTGTTCATTGCTCCATTTGTTCATATCTCCAAGTCTTAGAAAAGAGACTGGCATAAAGCTCAACAAATTCATCTGAGAAATAAATGATTCTTTTTCTCAATTTCTTTGCAGGTCTCAGAGGTGCCAAGTTTATTTGCTTTCAAGACCGCCAGTGGCACAGTGAATGCTTTAACTGTGGGAAGTGCTCTGTCTCCTTAGTGGGGGAAGGCTTCCTGACCCAGAAGAAGGAAATCTTCTGTCGCAAATGTGGTTCTGGGATGAACACTGATATCTAGAAGGAAACAGTCCTTCCTTACTTGAAACTCACCTTGCTTTTGTTCTCACTAAATCCAGATCTTGGTTAAAATAGTGCTTCTATCTCAATTTTAGTAAATACTAATGTAGAGTCTATAGTATAAGAGTTTACACACATTCTGACTGAACTGTTAATCAGAATTCAAAAAAGCAGTCTCACAGAAATACACACTAAATCACAAAGTCACATATTGCAAAACATTGCGTCTTGCTAACATAAAAAAATGACTTATTGTCAAGTATAGAACCAAGTACATAACCTATATATGAAAGTCATGGATGTTATGACTTTCTTTAAAGCCCACTTTTATGTCTTCCCACTTATTATCTGTGTAATTTTAGAAGGCAAATTCATGAGGCTCAAAGCTAAGCCTAAGACCAATGTTTTTCAAAATGCATAGTAGTACAAAAGAAATTAAGAGATTAAATTAAAAAACATATGAAAAACTAAAGCTTGTACTCAAAACATATAACATATGCTATTTTAATGACTTTTAGTTCTTTGTCATTTATCTTTTTCCATGTTTAATTATACTTATAAGAGAATACCTTGGTCATATTGTAATTCAGAACATAATTTCCAAAAGCTCCACATAGAGACATATACATAATGTTATAGGTTGACTGTGAATAGTAGAAAACAGAAGCGGATGAGGGGAAACTGATTAGCAATCATCATAGTTTAGAATTCTGTCACTTAATCATTTTTTAATTACTTCCATGTACCAAATTTGGAGTTGTGAAACAAAGCTGCAATTTGCCCACATCCACAATATTTCCACAGCTGGCTGCTTCCTTTGTTTAATCAATGGAATTTGAGAAATGTGGAAATTGAGAATTGTGTCTCATACTCTGTCTGCATAGGTAAGAAGGGGCTCTTTCACTACAGGGATAGTCAAAGCATGTTTCAATCCATTTTGTGTTGAATGTACTTTTCAAAGCCCAGAATGACTTTTCTAGATACTTACAGAATACATGAAAGGAGTCTATTCGTTAAAATGAGCTAACCAGGATAATCACTGTTCCCAAAGGCAAACCTTTAAAGTAAATAGATCATTAAATCATCACTTGTGGAAATGAGTTTTAGGGAAAGGATTGAGTGTTGGAATATGACTTTCATCCAGATATCTAAAGGCATAATAGAATGCATAATTAGCTTTGAGCCTCATGAATTTGCCTTCTAAAATTACACAGATAATAAGTGGGAAGACATAAAAGTGGGCTTTAAAGAAATATAGTAATAACAAGAACTAAAAAGAATAATAATTCAGGACCTGCAAAAGCAGTACAATAGAGCAAAGTGTAGATAATCCCATTCCATTCACTCATCACACATTGTACCAATCATGCTCCAGAGCTTCAGTCTCCTGAATAGTCAGAAGATGAACCCGTAACCCAAAAGAAACATTCACAAATAAGTCCATAAGTCACAGACATGTATCATCCTTGGTGAAAATTCTATTCCTGTTATCTTTATAGCAGACATGAACTAATCAAGACCTGAGCGAGCTCCTCCTGGACAATATTTTCTACATCTTATGGGACAAAATGAAAGCAACTTCTGCTCACCTTTGTTTTTACCCTTGGCTTCAGGGTCTATCTGTAGGGTAGATGCAGATAGTGAATAGTAATACACAAAGAACATTTCTGGCATATCTACTTTTAAATCACTGCATAACACTAAAGGCTCTAATTGAAATATAATTAAATGTCGTGGCTGATTATGATGCTTAAAAGTTTCACAAGAGATTAAAAATATAATGGAAACATTGAGGGGGACTTTATGTGGTACCAGATTCAAACCATTATTACAGCCAAATCCACGTGAAAAGTGGCATAACTGTTGTACCATTCTCAAACCCCACAAAAATACAATTTTTGTAAAAGTTGAAAATGTAAGGACAGTTGGAGACACTGTAGACATACCAAAATATATTAGGCATTATAGGCTATTTTAAAAATACAATAAATGCAATTGTCATTTTTTATTAATACTAACATTTTTTCATCCTTATCAGTAAAATACATAAAACTATCAACATTTTCCCTGGCATTATTTGAAATTACACATGTGGAACTAAATAAACCAGATGTTCTAAGTGAAGGAAATAGCCATGAATTTCATAGTTAGAAAATCAAGCCAAAGTCTAAACAATGTACAACATGTAACGTTTTGGTTAATGATATATAGACATACACACAAAGTTCATAATGTTTTTAAGTCAAATGGTAACTGATTAAGGCACTTCCCTATTTGTAAAAGGCTGCAATCAATTTGTGTTCAATATTTACAATTTAAAAATTTTAAAAGTCATAAGATCATTGCTGAGCAATAGATTTCTTATCCTTTAATAATAAGTATGTAAATAATTCCATATTTAAAATTCTATCAATCCCATATTGTGCATTAGAATTTCCATATTTCTGGCATTCTGGAAGGGAGGGTAAGTCAGTGTATGCAAATGTGGGGTGAACAGATTAAGAGCTCCTCCTCTGAAGGACATACATATGTAATAAAACTAAGAAGACCTCCTTAAATGGACATAGATACAAAAAAGATAAAGATAAAACACACATACATGCACATATTATGGAGGAGTATGGATGCTTTCAGGTCAGTAAAGAGAAAAGTTTTCTGATTTCTGTGGAAAATGAAATGAACTGCTTCAGGAAGTAGTGGATTCCAGTAATTCAAGAAGTGACATCTGCATAAACAGGAAAGCAGTTAGAAGCAAATCCTGTGTGCTAACAAGATGGTTTGGAAGCAGCATAGAGAAAGGTGCGAAAGACTAAGAAGAAGTGAGATTGCTAACAAGAAAAGGTCAGGTGAAGTGAGAATATTAACTCAGCATAAAAGACTTGCATTGTCTAGAAAAAGAATAGAAAGTTACTTCTTAAATAGCAGAGAGAAAGCACTAGGGCAGCGTTTGAGAAACATTAGGCTAATGATTGATTTTGTGTGGCCCAAAACTAAAGAGATCAAGGTTCCAAAAATTATATCTCTCACTAATTTGTGACAATAGAAATGAAGAATAATTTAAGAATAATAATAATTCTCACTGAATCAAAATCAATTTGCATTAAACAAATTCCTAAACATATTACTTTGGAACAGTCAAAATTGATAATTAAGTGAAGAATTATAGTATTACAATCACAGGTTCAAAATTTACAAGGTATCTACCTTTCAAAATATTAAGTGGCATTTTGGAGTGAAAGACTGACTTACCATTGTGTAAATGTCTAACATTGTTACAAATGGCTTTGGTTTAAAATAAGTATAAAAATGAATACCACAAACACATCAACCTAAAACATGTCAGATGTTAGTAACACCACTTTTGAATTTTAGAAAAGATCATTTTCATCTATTCTGATGTACTACTAATTTTCATATTTTGATTAACAAAATAATATGTTATAATGTTTAGGTAAATATAATTGAGACAAATTATTTTAAAAACATGTTTATAAAGAGATATTTGTTAATACACTTTTAGTTTTACTTGAATTATAAGTTGAAATTTCAAAAATTTCTTATGCTAAATAAATTAGTGTCATACTAATTGCTCCATTGTTTCTAGGTATTTTTATATTAACCAAGTAAATAGAATAGGTGTGTAATAAATTGGTAGTGTTGATAATTTTATTACATAGGGCACATAAAAATTTTTCTTATTTTATCTATTTTTACATCACTTAAATATATTTTGAGACATTCTAGAGTATTGATAAAAAATTTTACATAATAGACTTGATTTACCAAGGCTGTATTATCTTTCTTATTAAACCAAGTGAACCATCCTTCTCTCTTTCTAGTATATGTTATATTTTTATCATAAAAAGAGAATAAGTAAAGTAAAGTAAAGGCCCTCCCGTTGATCGTCGATTTGTTCGAGCGGGCCCAGTAACGTCTCCATTGGAGACTTTGTTGTTACTGTGTCTGGCATATCGAATACTCTCGGTAGCTTGCCGGGCTCTCCGAGAGGGGCGGAGGAATCGAACTTGGGTCGGCCATGTTGGCTGCGTGCAAGGCAGACGCCCTACCCGCTGTGCTATAATTATCTTATTTCTGTAATTCAAAATTACTTTACCACAAATATTCTGCTTTAATTCTATTTTCCTGTTTGGACTGCAATAGTTTAGTAACTACTCTTTAGTTGGCGGGTAGGGGTGAACGAATCTCCCATGTAGTACTTAGGCATTCTGAAGGCCACTGTTAGTAATACTTGGTAAACTGGGCTGAAAATTCAATGTGGTACTCTCAGCCCTTGTGCCTGAGGCCATTAGCCCTACTAGGTGGTGCACTAAGTGCCATGCCCTGCAGGGATCTACTGCAGGACCTATTCCATACAAAGCACGTACCCCTGACCTTGAGGTCAGAAATCTCTGGGCCTTAAGATTTGTTGTCATTTCTGTGTTGCTTTCAGACTCTTACTTTCTCAAAAGCAAAATTTGTATTATAACATAAGCTATAGATATAAAGCAAGCTAGGTCACACTCAAAGCATTAACTAAGTTATTTTCTGAGTGACATTAGATAATAAATTCATTTATCAGGGCATTTTTCACAAATGTGTAGATAGAATATCTCTTAACAAAACTTTCAATTTCTTTTTTTTTCTAAAACATCTGGAAATTTCTATATATATTTTTTAATTTAACCACCATGAGATAGAGTTACAATGCTTTCATAGTTGGGTTTCAGTTTTACAGTGTTTCAACACCCATCCCTCCACCAGTGTACATTTTCCAGCACCAATTCACTCTCACTCTCTCGCTCTCCGTTTGTCTCTCGCTCTCTCTGTCTGTTTCTCTCTCTCTCTCTCGCTCTCTCTCTCCCTCTATCTTTCTGTATGTGTGTCTCTCTCTTTCTTGCCTCTCTCTTTCTCCTCAGATCTTTCTAACTTTTACTTTCTTGCTTCACCAAAAAATAAATATGTGACTTTGGAACAAAATTCTCTTTCCCTCTCCCCTTCAGTGAAATTGCTATGTTGGTAGTGGTCAGGGTAAGTGCTGGCTGTGGCTCTCACTGGGCATTGCACATTAGGTTGGGGGAGCTCACACATTCAGGTACAGTGCTCAC